AGAGAGAGAGAGAGAGAGAGAGAGAGAGAGAGAGAGCAAAATCAAATGAATCCACTGCTAGAACATGGAAATATACATTGTGCACATGCGCGCAGCACACCAGACGTGCGCAGCGCGCACTGCGCACCCAGATGCGTGGCGCGCACACCCTGGGTCCGCGCACAGCGCACTGCGCAGCGCACAGTGCCGGTGCGCCACAAATATGGATCATACCTATCGTTGCAAGCAGTTTCCACAATCTGGATCATACTGGATCATACCAGTTAAACCACGATGCCTGGATGTCCTGTTCTGATTAAACCTCCAGTGTTCCCTAGCATGCATGTTAGTGATCCTACCTCCATCAGTTTCTGCAGCCTTTGGGAAAATGTAGAAGCAGATTCGTTGTGCCGATTTCTTTTCCTTTTCTTGGTTCTTCGTCTTCGTTTTACCGCTTTTTCGTTTTTTCCACCTTCGTGTCTGTTTTGCTCAATGTTTTTTCAGTCGGCTTCTCCCTTTTCGAACATTTTCGTTGCCTTCTCATTTTTGTTTTGTTGTCTTTTCCGATTTTGTGGCCTTTCTTTTGTCACTATTTTGTTTCTTTTGTGCCATTTCATTTACGTTTCTTCTCTATGATATGAGCCCTGTCCTTGACTTTGAAAATGAGCCGAACTCAAGCCTCTACTCCGCTTCACCCGACCCTGCCCGAGGCCACCTTGAATTCCGGAGACCCAAAATCTATCTGTGATTCTGTGGGCTACAGCAGGCAGCGTACTGGCGGTCTAATTGAAGATAGAATATTAGAATCTGATATAGATCGACCTCCGAAGATCCTCGTTTTTTTAACTTTTTTTTTTTTTTTTTTTTTTTTYTGGACATATTCACCAAAAAGTTGAGAAGAGTTATGTTATGCAACCCATAACTGCTGAAAACATAGACCTGAATTCGAATCCAGAGTATATATTCGGCCAGCTCCTGCTCCACTTCATACTCGTTGCTTGCCTCGATATTGGTGGAGGGTCTACGCTAGTTTGCTGCGAGCACTCTTCAGATTACCTGCAGGGGCCCTCTGATAAGTGTGAAAGGAATCCTTCTCTCTCTCTCTCTCTCTCTCTCTCTCTCTCTCTCTCTCTCTCTCTCTCTCTCTCTCTCTCTCTCTCTCTCTCTCTCTCTCTCTCTCTC